TGTATATTTAGTTATACATTTATAGCTTGGCGCTCGGCGAGGCATTGCGTTCTGTGTGAGTTGGCGGCGAAAAGGTTAAACAAAAATAAAACAACTACCTACATAGTAATTGAAAAGTTTAATAAAAATATTTGAATTTTAAAATAACAATAAGATTAACACTTACATTTATAATGCACCTATAAAAAGTTATATTTATTTGGTTATTATTACAAAGATCTTAATTTATGTATTTAAAACTTAGGCCTATTACAGACATTGCTAATTTGAGGGCTACATACAATTTAAAATAATTTATATTAAAATAATGTAACATACCTACTAAAACTATGACATTTCTTACAAATCTTAGAATTAAAGCTACTACTTATCTAAGACCGTATTATTATGTCACTGATTTGTTCCAAGGTCGTGTTGGGTTTCGTGTCCACTGGTCTAGAACGTCAAGAACATTTGCTGCGATTGGAATTGCGTCGATCAGGGTGCCGTACTCAGAGTATCAAACTTGTTTTAACAAGTATCCATTGGTCTTGACCTCGATACAACCATATGAGGAAATACAGGACTACAAAAAGGGGCTTTTGAGACGATAAAAAGCTGGATGGGGCAATTTTTATAGGGTATAGACTGGCCGAATTCCTGTAAAAAGACGAGTCCCTCGTTTCATGATGAACTCTTTTTTTCAGTGGCTATCACACAGGAAATAGACCGGGATGTCAGTCCAAGTTATAGACGAAAGTCTATCAAATCAGTGTGTTCAGTGAGGATATCATATCAGGGACCGAGTGGCCTCTCAACAAAGCTTATTGTCATTTAGCGCCCCGCCCTGCCTTACTGTGGCTACCGACATGCTAATAATGACAATGATGATGGTTAGTCATAATAATGCAACTTTGCAATTTTTGATGAATTCGATTTAAGTTTTACACGTAATTCTAACAATTCAGATTTGCAATATTTTGGAAAGCATAGGGCCACGAGTAAATAGCTATAAATAAAGTTTTCGTCAACCAACATGTACTTCAGAGTGTCCAAAGTATAGACATTATTTATAAATGCAAACATTTTAAACATATTTTCGAAAGCACTCCTGAATAGATTGTATATCGTAGGACCATATTGCTCGCTATCTTCTTTTAAAAACGATACTATCTTTGGACCTAGGAATGGTGACAATTTGTTATGATTGTCTTGCCAAATTTTTTCCGGTTCATCAGGCATATATACCCATTCTGAAAATTCCGGGAAATCTGAAATTGTTACATCTCTCAATTTAAATGCACTTAATATAGTTTCGTGTTCCTCCATTAAATGTATATATTCATTGACAAATTTCCAGTTCGTAATTAGAACATAGTTTTTAATTATAGGCAAGCCTTTCTGCATAGTTATTAAAATTTCTGCAAATAGTTTTGTAGGTAAAGGTACCTTATTCAAACTAAAATATACTATAAAATACCAGCTCAAATTATTCAATAGTTTCTTAAACTGACTCTTTACATATAAAGACCCTGAATCATTATGGTTCCAACATTGAAAAGCTTCTTCCATTGCTGGACGTAAAACCTTATTAAATCTCACAAGTTGATCTTCTTGACTCTTACCACATAAAACGTAACATGCAAATGAGTCTATATACTGACTGTCATACGAACAGAGTTTAGTACCTGCTGGTGATAGTAGTTTATTTGCGACAAAATCTTCGTCAAGGTTTTCCATTATCGTAGGCGTACATTTTAGTAGTTTCTCTAAATATGAATCCTTATCGGATGAGTTAGGCGAGGAAGATAAAATATTGTAACTTTTCATAAAATACTCTCCTTGTATACTGATGGGAATAACGTTGACGTTAACTAATTTTCTATAAACGCCTACACCTTTTTCAAAACTCGTGTCGTCTAAAAATGAACTTAATAATTTCCAAAGACATTTTTCTTTGAACTCATTCTTAATCTTACAAATTTTATTATATGTGCACAGGAAAATAGTGGATCTAATAGAAGGATTCTTGGTAGTGTTCCAGATTTTCGAAAGTATGGTTATCAAATCATTAATCTCAAATTTTAAAAATGCTTGACGTATTCCAAATTTTTGCAATGATACTGGAGCATCCAACAGTCTAGGTAAATATTCACGACTCTCAACTTGACTGATATTGGACAAGATAGCACTCAGTGACGGTACTGCATACTGCAAGTAATCACCTTTGGCATACCATAACACCGTATCTAAAGGAACAAGTGGCCTAGCTACGTGAAGATGTTTAGCAATATTTTTCTGTACGCTAATGTCAGCTTGATTAGAGTCACTCCAATTTATTTTAGTTTCAGATGGAACATATTTCTTTGCTAGTTGTACGACTTGATCGATAGGGGATAGCAGGAAAATACCGTTGATTACTGCTTTTTGTCCAGAAGGTCCGTTTAGGCTTTGCATGTAAGCTTCAGTCCATTGCCGGGCGAGTGAGTACGGCCAGTAGACGCGCAGCTTCGCGAGTACACGCCGCAATGAGACCGTGTCATTAGTTCGCAATGTGTTAACTTGTTTTTCGTGACGCGTCAACAGCTGTGGTTTGTACTTCAGAGCGTTCAGGCACGTTTCCTCGCACAGAGAGAGTGACAGCGACTCCTCAAACATGTATTTGCGCCACGATTTGTTCACATTGTATAAGCATGACATGTCTGTGGTCCACTTGTTCTCTTCTTTTATTTTAATTAATTTTTGTATTGTTTCGTAAATGAATGAGTAATCAGATAATTGTTTATTCCAATCTTTCAACAACACCAGCACATTGGACAGTTCGTTCAAAGTTACGTCTAACATGGACTCATTTACTATATTATCAGTTTTAATTTTAGACCATGTCGAATTTAGGATATAAGTGAACAATTTGTTTTTTTGTTCATCGTTTAACGCGTTTCTAATGTTTCGGAAAGTATTAAAAGATAGTTTTTGTTCTACTATTTCTGGTACGGGTATATCATGTAATACATTGTACAGGATTATAGCTTCAAGACATTGTCGTACGTTATTATCTGATTCGATGTACACTTCCATACTATGAAACAATTGATTCAAATAATTCCAGGTTTCAACGTCGAATTTATGAGCAGATACACTCGACAACAGAGTGTTAACGAACTGAATCTTGTAATTGTAGGGTTCGTTGATGTGTTTTTCAAAATAATATTTAAGTAATGACTTAATATGCCCCGGGCATTTTCTTGCGCTAGAAATTAAAACTATAAGGATGGAACACCGATCGGCAGGTAAGTTTTGCTTACGAATTATATTCTTTGATTCAGATAATGCTACGTCAAATGGAATAAATTCATACCATTGATAGGTATTTATTCCCTCTATAAAATTTTGTATCTCTTTTGGAAATAAGATTTTTAAATCAATTTTATCGATCAAAGTTTTCTTAACGAATTCAAATCTATCTTCTTGGTCCATTTGGTTGAGAAAGCATCGCCATGTGTCTATACTGTAAAAAGTGTATTGCGTTGCTTTGCAGAGAAAAGTTTTAATTTCATTTTTCGGCAAATATTTCACAAAAACTGACATGTCAAGGTATCCATGGTACCTATCAAAATTGTCTAAAACTTTTTGTGGGATTTTTTCCATTATGATTTTTGTTTTCTTTTTACCTAATTCAGGCATGTAATCATGTTTCCGGTCTTCAACCATGTTAATGACATCTTCAGTGTGCGATTTCAATAAGAATAAAAGCTCTTTTTTTATATTACACCAACGATATTCAGCACGTGTATAATATGAAAGAAAATCAGCAGATCGCTTGCACAAACGTTTGAAAACCCACACTGGTATGAGTCGTTCGTTTTTGATAACATTTTCAATAAAAGGTATGGAACAGTTCTGCAACCATCTACAGGCGCTATCTGTATCTTTAAAATGTTCATAAAAGACTTCGACTCGAGTTTCATCTTTCAGATTGAGTCTGATGTGAAGCATGAGTTTGTTAAATGCTTTGGTGGTCATGTAAGGTTTTAGTTGTGTGTGTAGGTACTCAGGGTTGATGATGTTTGCGTACTGCGGGTCGGTGATTAGCCACGTGGACTTTTTAATAGCTGTCGCCGCATACAGCATGTCTTTGGATTTCATTACTTCGATGACGTAGTCTACATTTCTGGTTTTACACGCGATTTCTATCTTCAGCAGGTTGTCTATATCACTGTCTGTTTCATTAATTGGCGTTAGTTCATAATGCTCGCTAACGGCCGTATCCGTGACAAGTTTATTGAAGTGCCGGCGCTTTATGCTGACTGTGTCTCCTTCTAACGTTAACGGCGGCATGATGGACAACTGTAATTAAAATAAGTACATTTAGGTAATTACTGTCTCCAAACACTTGGTAGTAGTTATTAAACAAATGTTGGGTACGTGGCTACGATGGATATCTTTTACAGAGTGGCGATATCTGCGAAGTGGCTGGCCATAGCTAGTTATAAAGAGCTGTAGATAAAAATGAACGGGCTGATGTGATGCTTTTGGGACATACCTATCTATCAGAAGCAATTAAATATCTACATATGTATAACTCTTACAAAAGAAATCATTAATTTAGTTTGCTACTTTATTGGTACTTGAGCACGGAAAAATATAGTAATTTCACTCTCTTATCCTCATTTGTCTTTGCACCTTAAAGTGCACATAAAACTTTGCCTATCAGTCCTTCCACGTGTAGTTCATGAAGTGACTGTAGCCTACAAGTAACCTATAATAAGATACTTATGCATTATATTAAAGTTTGGTAGAGGCATGAAATCATTTAGCATTGTATTTAATTATGTATTACAGACAAACCTATTTTTAATCAGTTACTGTAATAATTTTATTTTAATGGAACAAGCCCGCCACAACCTCACAAAACCGCTGTTACTTCTTTACGCCAGGATCTACAGCAGACATAACCATGAAAACACCGGAACACTGAAGTCCAGCGCGTCACAGGGACATAAATAAGAGGAGAAGAAAAAAACGATAGTTTCCACTTCCCTCGGTGAATTACTGCAGGAGACAAAATGAATTAAGCCTAAAGGCACAAAAAGGAGACTGTTCAACTGGGTGAAGCCTAGTGGAAATTTAACTAAAAACTAAGTGGGTCCTATGTGTGAGTTTTTATATTTGCTTCCAATAATAGGTATGAAATTTTGTTCTAGATTCCACAAGGTCCGAAAACTCCAGAGTATAATTAACTACTATGTCTGTCATCATAGGTGACACAATAATACTAAGCAGGTTAAAGTTAACAAAGAATAATGCAAGGGATTTAACAGAATTCGTTTATTAATTACAAATGCAATGTTAATCCACATAATTATATGAAGAAAACGTACTCATAACAAAACAAGAAGAAAACCATATTATGTTATTACAAACATGTTGATCTCATAAAATAATTTTAGTTAATCTTGAACACTAGGTACAAACACGAAATTTAATATATCTCCTATATTTATTTACATCAGAAGCAACAAGGCCCCTATTATGCGCGCTACACATCTTTCGTTTTAACTGTACGGTTAAATCAGAGGTCCATACAGCCTGCACACCTTACGAGTGTGTAGGGTGCATCACAAATACATGAAAATAGAAGTACTACGGTATGTACCGTAGTATAATAAGATAAACCTACATGACTACATGTATAGTACCACTATAGAGGACTGCACACATAAAGATGACTACATAATATAACACAAAATTCTTGTGTCCGTATTTAAGCTTTGTTCTTTAGAACCGTGCGTTTTATTTTGATTCAGTTTTATAGCACAAGTTACTACCACAGGGTCTCACTCGCTACTCGGTTCCGTCGCGTCGTAGCGTGTAGCCTTCCTCAATATATGGATAATCCAACACATATCATAACTATTGAATTCGAACCGTAGGTACTCCGGTACCTTAGCACGGATTAGCACGTTGGGTTAAACAAATCTAATATATTTACAAACTACACAAACTGCATACTTTGACGATTAGGACGATTAGATGGTGGCCGAACGTCAACCTATCAAGTATAAAAAAACAAATATAGGTACCTAGTAGTGTTTTTTAAGGTTTTGGAAAATAAAAAAATAATAGAATAAATACCCCATCAGACATCAGTCCAACGAACGTTATGGTGAACATGTACGATTGTGCGTAGCCCTTAGGTTACAACCTGTGCAACTTCACTAATACTTAGGCGTATCATAAAAATAACGATGATATTGGATTCTCACTATAGAAGATGGATGCGATGCAATTATTTTGTAAATCTCCGATCGTTTCAGTTTTGACTCTCCATAACAATATTTCGGAATGCATTTACAAACTACTAAATAACTAGGAACAAACTCGCGATCACAAAGCATATATGCTAGAGTTTCGAGTATAAAAGTAACATCTCTATTTAATATGACAAAAAAACTATTTAAAGCATCGGCAAATAAATCATGTATAGCCGAGCCATATTTATCCGTATCTTCTTTTAAATACTCGATGACCTTTTCAGCCAAAGAGGGAGACAGTTTCAAATGCATATCTTTCCAAGTATTTTCGCATGTTGACGACGTAAAGATGGATGCGTGTTCGTTCATGTATTTAACATAATCTGTTACTAGCACCCAACTTGTGATTAATTTGTAGTTTTCTACTAATGGTAATCTTTGTTGCATTTTATGTTTTATTTTCTGAAATAATTTGACAGGGATTTGTACTTGAGTGATTTTTCTTCGAAAGCTGACAACCAAAGCTGTCAAAAATTCTTCAAAAACAATTTTCACGTCAAAATTATCTGTAAACACATCATACCAACGACTAAAAGCATCGTCTAATGCTCTTTCTATACTTCTGAATCTCTGGAGTTGATTTTCCTCACTTATACCACATAGCAAGAAACATGCAAATGCATTTAAATACACCCTATTATGTGAACAAAATGTTGATTCTACCGGGGAAAGTAACTTATTGACGACAAAGTCTTCGTCTAGTAATTCCATTACAGGTCCTGCATACGCAATTACAGTATTTAAATATTGCACGCAATTGTGATTTTCAGGCAAAGATTTTAAAATTTCGTAACTCTTCATATAATATTTTCCACGGACATTAATCGGAACGCTTTTGACATTGCTTAATATCTTATACACGCTGGTACTTTCTTGTGAGTTTAAGTCTTGCATGAATATACTTAATAATTCCCACAGTTCATTGAAAATGTTTTGGTTTTTAGAACTGCTTAACTGATTGAATGTGTGTTCAAAAATAACGGCTCTGATGGTAGCAGTTTTCGTAGATTTCCAAATATTTGAAAATACAGGCTTTATTTCGCTAGCATCAAATTTAGTATGTGTTAGGTGAAGTCCATATTTTTGTATAGAGACTGGGTCATCCAACAGTTGAGGTAAATATTCACGACTCTCAACTTGACTGATATTGGACAAGATAGCACTCAGCGACGGTACTGCATACTGCAAGTAATCACCTTTGGCATACCATAACACCGTACCTAAAGGAACAAGTGGCCTAGCTACGTGAAGCTGTTTAGCAATATTTTTCTGTATATTAATGTCGGCTTGATTAGAGTCACTCCAATTCATTTTTGTTTCAGATGGAACATATTTCTTTGCTAGTTGTACGACTTGATCGATAGGGGATAGCAGGAAAATACCGTTAATGATTGCTTTGTGTCCAGAAGGTCCGTTTAGGCTTTGCATGTAAGCTTCAGTCCAGTGTCGGGCGAGTGAGTCCGGCCAGTAGACGCGCAGCTTCGCGAGCACACGCCGCAGTGAGACCGTGTCGTTAGTTCGCAACCTGTGTATTTGTTTGTCGTGACGCGTCAACAGCTGTGGCTTGTGCTTCAGAGCGTTCAAGCACGTTTCCTCGCACAGAGAGAGCGAAAGCGACTCCTCAAACATGTATTTGCGCCACGATTTGTTCACATTGTATAAGCATGACATGTCTGTGGTCCAATTGTTCTCTTCTTTTGCCTTAATTAGTTCTTTGATTTTTTCGATCAGGATTGGGAAATCAGTGAGTGTTTTGTTCCAATCTTTTAATAAAATAAACATATCCCGCAATGTGTTTACAGTTTTTTCGAAATCAGATTCCTTTTCATATGTTTTGTGTTTTAGTTTTTCTAGTAAGGAATCGAAAACATACGTAAATAACTTACGTTTTTGTTCTTCATTCAAAGTTTTTACATTTTGAAATGAATTCAACGTGTATTTTTGTTTTATGACTTCTGGCACAGGTTCATCGTTCAAAACTTTACGCATAATTATAGATTCCAGGCACAATTGTACATCGTTCTCTGTTTCAGTGTATACATCCATACTGTGAAATATTTGATTCAAAATGTTCCACGTTGCCTCATCGAACTCGTGAGTAGAAACGTTTGAAAGTAAATTATTTATGAATTTTATTTTGAATTTAAAAGGAACATTTATGTGTTTTTCAAACACATATGCGAGCAAAGTTTTAATATGTTCCGCATTATGTTTAGCACTATTAATCAAAACTGAGAGCATGGCACATCGTTCAGACGGCGAGGTCTGCTTTTGTATAAGATTTTTAATTTTAGTAAATGCCATATCGAATGGAAAGAACTCATACCATTCATATGAATGTATAACAGGACCAAGTCCAAACCAATCAAAATCATCTTCATTAAATATAGGCTTAGTTTTATCAATGAATGATGTCATTACGAACTCAACTCTTTCTGTCTCTTCCATGTTCTGTATGAACAATGGTAATGTTTTGAAATTTTCATAGTGACTCATGACACTTGCATGTTGATATAGAAAATTCTTAATATCTTTTTTATATTTTAAATGTTTTACAAACACATTAACGTCAAGCGATTGATTGTATTTTTGAAAATTATCGAAAATTCTACGAGAGTGTTGTTTTAAAAGAAATTGTGTTCTCTTTTTCCCCATTCTAGGAATAATTGAAATTGTATAGTCTTCTAATATGTTTAATACATTTTCAGTTTGAGATTTCAACATAAATAAAACTGATTGTCCTCGTTGGTGTGGATATAATTCAACACGCATAATGTATGAAAGAAAACTAGCAGATCGCTTGCACAAACGCTTGAAAAGCCACACTGGTATGAGGCGTTCGGCCTGAATGATATTTTCAATAAAAGATATAGAACAGTTCAGAAGCCATTTCCAAGCACAGTATGTTTCTTTAAAGTGTTCATAAAAGGCTTCGACTCGACTTTCATCTTTTAGATTGAGTCTGATGTGAAGCATGAGTTTGTTAAATGCTTTGGTGGTCATGTAAGGCTTTAGTTGTGTGTGTAGGTGCTCAGGGTTGATGATGTTTGCGTACTGCGGGTCGGTGATTAGCCACGTGGACTTTTTAATAGCTGTCGCCGCATACAGCATGTCTTTGGATTTCATTACTTCGATGACGTAGTCTACATTTCTGGTTTTACACGCGATTTCTATTCTCAGAAGATTGTCTATGTCGCTGTCTGTATCAATAACCGGCGTTAGTTCATAATATTTGCTAACGATTGCATCTGCGACAAGTTTATGGAAGTGTCGGCGCTTCTCACCGAGTGTGCCCCCTTCTAGTGTTAATAGCGGCATTGCATCGTACTGTAAACGTAAAATTATTTAATGTCAAGCATTCGGTTTATTATTTAAATTGTCCGCCGTGCCGTTAAGTTAAACTGATTGCTTAGTACGAGTTTGTTGTACGTTTAGGCCAGCTCCAATGAACTAACCAGAGCGCCGAACGCGGTCTCATTTCGATTACTTCAATCGTAAAACAAACTCGTACTAAGGCCTCTGATGGATTTATGTAATGAATTAAAACGGGTTAACCTAACTGTAAAGTAGCTGTTAGTTTAGTCTATCTGAAAGTGCTAAAGAAAGGAATGACCTTTCTATCTAGCAATGGCTAGCGGACAAAAACCCCTTTATTAAGAAACTATTTCTTATGGTCCTCCTGGTTGCATCTTGCTTTCTTATTATCCATGATCATCAAGTCATGGCAACATAAGAGGGTTTATTGAGAGACTTAAAAAAAGGTTCTCAGTTTGACCTGTCTGTATGTATGGTCGTGCACAATTACCTGAACAGCTGACTCGATTTTAATGTGGTTGTCAGAAATGTTTGTTACACTCAGGACAAACTTTTAGTATATTAATTAACCGACTTCTAAAAAAGAGGGGTTCCAAGTCGGTATTTAAAGAATTATAATAATTTCCGTGCCTTTAGGGCCAATTCATACAAGCGCAGAATCGAAGGGCATCGTAGCGATCCATCCATCCAAACCGTGACCATTGGAGCACATTGCTTTGCATTCACCTGCACATTCACTTGTATCTTTTCATTTTCGAGGTGAAATGTTTTCGCTGTCATTTGATTTTGACTTCGATGCGCAATGAACTGGCTCGTAATATAAATAAAAAGTCCTTGAATGGTTAATAGTTTTAATAACGCAGAAACAGTTACAGCTTAAATTCTAAAAAGTCGCAAAGATAGATTGATAAATTAATTACATAGGTTACATACAGTATACAATAAACATCTAAGAAATAGATATAATATTTCATATTCATCTACAAAATATTTAAATATTATCACGTCAGATAAAACTTACAATCTTAGTCTACAGGATATTCCCAGAAATCATTATAAAAATGTACTTGTACCACTGGCGATGGATTCATTTTAAGTTTTTGAAGTATTTCTGTTTGTAAATGTTTTGTCTCTTCGTGTGGATCTTTTGGCATAATATTAGAGACAACTAGATATGCAGGGACAAATTCATCGTCGTTTAACACGTGTATCAAAATTTCTAGTTTCATTTTATCATCATATATGCGTAACATTGCAAGGGCTTTTTCAAAAGCGGTCGCGAAACGGTGATGTACTATTGGGCCGTATTCATCACAGTCTTCCTTCAAATGTCGTGTTATTGCTACACCGAATGAAGGAAATAGTTTCATATCATTGTATTGGCAATCATTTTCTGTTATAATTAGTTCACTTAATAATTTAATGTACGTTGTTACAAGCTTCCAGCTAGTAAATATTATATAGTTTTCAGATACAGACAAATCATTTTCGATTTTAGTAAGTAGTTTAGCAAAAACTTTTGCAGGTATGGGCAATGCTAAATGTTTTTTATCAAAGTATTCAATGAAGTGTTCAGCCAAATTTGTTAAAAATTCTTCAAAACCTGTTTGATAGCGGTCGCGTTCGTCTTCGATACTATCCCAATTCTGGAAATATTCGTCTATTACAGGTATAATCTTCCTAAATCTCTGAACTTGGTTTTCCTCATCTCGACCACATAATATGAAACACGCAAGGGATTTTACATACTCGTAATCATGCAACGACTCAAACTTAGATTCTGCAGGAGACAATAATTGATTGATGACAAAGTCCTCGTTTAGCAACTCCATTGCTGTATGAGCATATGAAAGTAATTCATTTACATACTTTTTACAGTCAGCACTTTCGGGCAATGAAGTTAAATACTTGTAACTCTTTATATAATAGTCTCCTCGTATGCTTATAGGGACTCTTGCGACGTCACTTAACTTCTTATGAATTCCGGTACTTTCCTCCAAGCTTAAGCTATCTATAAACATGATTAATAACTGCCATAAATCTTTTTCTGTAGTTTCATTTCTGACTGTACACATTTGATTGTAGGTGTGTTCAAAAATAACGCCTCTGATGGATGCATTATTTGAAGATTGCCAAACTTTAGAAAAAATACTTTTTAGTTCACTGGGTTTGAATTTCCAAAATGCTAGATGAAGACCAAACTTTTGTAAGGATACTGGAGCATTTAATAATTTTGGTAGATACTTCTCACTCTCTACTACGTCCAAATTGCGTATCATTGCATTAAGTGACGGTACTGAGTATTGCAAATAATCCCCTTTAGCATACCACAATACTGTGTCCAATGGTACGAGTGGCCTAGCCATGTATAGATGCTTTGCGATATTTTTTCGCATGATAATATCTAACTGGTCGGTGTCGCCCCAGTTTATACTGTAATCGATGGGAACATATTTTTTTGATAGTTCTACTACTTGATTCGCAGTAAGAAGTACAAAGAGACCTTTAATAACAGATTTTTGTCCAGTAGGCTCATTTAGGTTTTGCAGGTAAGCCTCTTTCCAGTGTCGGGCGAGTGAGTCCGGCCAGTAGACGCGCAGCTTCGCGAGCACACGCCGCAGTGAGACCGTGTCGTTAGTTCGCAACCTGTGTATTTGTTTGTCGTGACGCGTCAACAGCTGTGGCTTGTGCTTCAGAGCATTCAGACACGTTTCCTCGCACAGAGAGAGTGACAGCGACTCCTCAAACATGTATTTGCGCCACGATTTGTTCACATTATATAAGCATGCCATGTCTGTGGTCCAATTGTTCTCTTCTTTTGCCTTAATTAGTTCTTTGATTTTTTCGATCACGATTGGGAAATCAGTGAGTGTTTTATCCCAATCTTTTAATAAAATAAACATATTCTGCAATGTGTTTACAGTTTTTTCGAAATCAGATTCCTTTTCATATGTTTTGTGCTTTACTTTTTCTAGTAAAGAATCAAAAACATAAGTAAATAATTTACGTTTTTGTTCTTCATTCAAAGTTTTAACAACATTTTTAAATGACTTAAACGTGCATTTTTTTTCTATGACTTCTGGCACAGGTTCATCGTTCAAAACTTTACGCATAATTATAGATTCCAGGCACAGTTGTACATCGTTCTCTGTTTCAGAATATACGTCCATACTGTGAAATATTTGATTCAAAATGTTCCACGTTGCCTCATCGAACTCGTGAGTAGAAACGTTTGAAAGTAAATTATTTATGAATTTTATTTTGAATTTAAAAGGAACATTTATATGTTTTTCAAACACATATGTGACCAAAGTTTTAATATGGTCCGAATTATGTTTTGCACTTTTAACCAAAACTGAGAGCATGGCACATCGTTCAGACGGAGAGGTCTGTTTTTGTATAACGTTTTTAATTTTGGTAAATGCCATATCGAATGGAAAGAACTCATACCATTCATAAGAATGAGTTCGAACGTCGTCGAACCACTTCATTTCATCTTTCTTAAATATCATGTCAGTTCTGTCAATAAAAGATTTTCTTATGAACTCTACCCTTTCTTCCTCATCCATTTTCCTAATGAATTCATTTAATTTTTCGGTTTCCCAATAGTACCCCAATTCATTTGCATGTTTGTGAAGGAATGTTCCTATTTCATCTTTGTTTATATGTTTTATAAGCACACTGGTGTCGAGAGATGTGTTGTATTTTTTAATATTATCGAATATTCTATGTGGACATGTTTTTAAAAGAAATTCTGTTCTCTTTTTACCCAATTCTGGCACATATGTAACTGTTTTGTCTTCTAATATGTTTAATACGTCATCAGTATGTGACTTTAACATAAATAGGACTAACTGTCCTCGTTCGTGGGGGTATAACTCAACACGTGTATTATATGCAAAGAAATGACTAGATCTCTTACATAAGCGTTTGAAGAGCCACTTTGGTACAAGGCGTTCGTTCTTAATAACATTTTCAATATAAGGCATGGAACAGTTCTGGAGCCAATGATAGGCGGTATCTGTATCTTTACAGTATTCATAAAAGATTTGGACTCGACTTTCATCTTTCAGATTGAGTCTGATGTGAAGCATGAGTTTGTTAAATGCTTTGTTGGTCATGTAAGGTTTTAGTTGTGTGTGTAGGTACTCAGGGTTGATGATGTTTGCGTACTGCGGGTCGGTGATTAGCCACGTGGACTTTTTAATAGCTGTCGCCGCATACAGCATGTCTTTGGATTTCATTACTTCGATGACGTAGTCTACATTTCTGGCTTTACACGCGATTTCTATTTTTAGAAGGTTGTCTATGTCGCTGTCTGTGTCACTAGTCGGCGTTAGTTCATAATGTTTGCTAGCGACTGCGTCTGCGACAAGTTTGTTGAAGTGTCGGCGCTTCTCGCCGAGTGCGTCTCCTTCTAGCGTCAATGGCGGCATGTTGGTCAGCTGCAAACGTAATATTGTTTTCTATTACTTTCTTTTCACTTTGATTTGTCCTATATTTTATAGACGAGTAAAATAAATGTTACCTACTGGATATTTTTATTTAAAAACAGTATTATTATGGTACATGGTATTACGTTCGATATGTTGCGTACCTAATTTCGATTAGAAGCATTAACCATGCTCCATGAGTGAGTCAATTTACTTCAAATATTATGTCTCAAGAAAATACGTATATAAGTACCTACTTATAACCATAATTGCTTTTTCAAAGTTTAGTTCGAGTGCTGATATCGTTAGTACCTATGTTCTTAATGTGTTCGTACACACGCATGCGCTATCCTTTTCTTACTATTTAGCTTAAGTTCGAAATAATATTTTTCTGTGATAAATGTAGCTTGTTTATTTATATTCAAGAATTAACCCGTTGAAAATCATCCCCTAAATTTGTTCGTACAAAAGTAGTCTCTAAACATTAAAACTTATGTTTCTTATAGAGTGAGAGTTTGTGAGTGACAGAAAGGCACAACTGAAAGTTTGTCAGTCACGGAGAAGATTTCCGCACGTAAAAAGCCGCGGGCTGATATAATTATGTTGGTATAACCATATAACTGTGTTTCATTTCAATCAAGAAAGCTATTAAAGATATTAATTGTCAATTAAATGTGTTTTATTTCATAATATTAATAAAGAAGGCTCTGCCAGTCCGTCACCGAAACGTTAACGTTGAATTGCGTTTATCAACTATTTATTTCCGCCAACGAGTTACGTGTTACGAACGTGCATGAACGGTAAAACCCAAAACGCTTAATTAGCGTATGCTGTTTTAATGTTAACTAGCGACCCGCCCCGGCTTCGCACGGGTGCAATATGTACATACATACAAACCTTCCTTAAGAATCACTCTATCTATTAAAAAAAACCGCATCAAAATCCGTTGCGTAGTTTTAAAGATCTAAGCATACATACGGACATACAGCAAAAGCGACTTTGTTTTATACTATGTATTGATATTGATTTACGAACGCGCCATCGCCGAAACGTTTCATTCCGCGCACGAATATGACCATTTTAAGAATGAACAATGCTATCGTTTACTTTTAAAAAAATAATGACATTGATCAAATTACTAAATACCTAATTATAGGTTGTATTCGTTACTTAAAGTTCAAATTGTTGTCATGACAATAGCGTCATAGCGGGAGTTTTATTCTTAAAAAAATACAATTTACGTACGTCGAAAAACGAGTTGAATTCATAAATGTTGCTGTCTCGAATTCAACGAGTTGATTCGTACACGGTGAACGTTAATTCCGTTGAAGAGATATCAACGTTGATTCAATTAGTTCGTTGTGTCAACGCCCATCGCTACTGCCTACCCCCTTGGAAGATAGGCGTGAAGTTATGTATGTACAAGTACGTAATGTAATATTAATAAAATGCCTATAAAATGGTTTTATCCGTTGCTCAGATTCTCCCTCAATAAATGCACTATCTAACACAATATGAAAATTTATATTCGAACCAGTAGCTCCCGAGCTTACTGCATCCAAACAAATAAAAAAGAAAATACTCTTCAGCTCTATAGATTAGTGGAAGTGCAGGTATAAAGTGACGGCACGGTTGGTGCGGTGGCTGGGCAACCGGCTGACGCGCAACGTGTAGCAGGTTTCGCTCCCGCGTTGATTGACAAATTGATCTTTCTGGACTGGGTGTCATGTGAAATTGTATGTTTGTAAACATACCCACCATGCAGTAGCAAATCTTAGTGGGTCAACGTTTCATTTAAAAAAAAGTATTTTGGAAATCTCTTAAAAAATTACTATCGAGAGTGTGAAGAAAAGTTTGAATTTAAACTGTCAAACACCAAGCAGTCACCGGTGACCGCAACCTATTGTTCTATAATTGTGTCTATAATGATGGTACTTGACGAGTTAAAGTAAACTTCTTTTCCGTTTTTTAAATCAATCCGTAGATATTGCGAGCAGGGCGCAATATGTCGCGGGTTCGAGTCGATAGGTACTTAGTTACTTGCACGGAACATTTATTTTTGTGATACAAAATTAGTTGACCTCAGTAGAATGCGATGTGATATTGAGTGTGTAATCGCAACCAGGAGACACGAGAATTTTTTCTTGATGAATTGTAAACTTATCCATAAAAAATAAGAAAGTTTGCTCGAAAGACCTCAATAATATTAAAAAAAAAACTATATAAATAAAAATAAGACTAATGGTTGAGTAACAACTGTTGTTTCTGTTTATGTGAACTTGTATCTATGATAGTAAACACACTGAAGAGTACCTACGACACAGGAGAAAATCCTAATGTGCGGCAACATTAAAAAATAAATAAAAAAAGTTTTGGTCAACACATTCATTGTAGGTGACACTGTGATGACCTCTCGCGTCCGGGCCTAGTGCAGGCCATGATGCGGAGCGAGGGGGATTGGGATGCCGTCTCCTCCTTTTGCGAAGCAGTCATGCTAGCTAAGGAGGAGGCGGGACGCGTGAGGCAGCGAAGCGCTGCCTCCTCGCAACCCAGCCATCGCGAAGGACACACCGGGCGTCGGGGATCGCGGGACGATCTCCGGCCACCGTAAGCGCGGGCCTGCGGACGGCGAGCATGGGTGGCTCCCCGTCCGACCAGAAACAGACCCGAGCGTACGGCGCGTCGCGTTCCGCGCGCGCCTCAAAGAGCCATCAGACCACCACAGATGGGGCCCAATAGGGCCGATGCCGATTCGGAGTCGCGGAGAACCTAACGGGTAACCGGGGCTCCGGCTCGACGTGCAGGAGAAGGAACGGGGTGGTTTTTAGTCCAGTAAGAGTCTGACACTCCCTCCCGCCTCACCCAGGCGGGGGCAGTCATTCGATGATTTTCCCCCCTTAAAAAAAAAAAAAAAAAAGGTGACACTGTGACACATGTTACATTCTGTTTTAATAAAGTTTACATAATTCTATCAGCCTTCAAGTTATCTAACTTACTTACTTGTTGAGTTTACTCAGACTCAAGTGTTAATTGCTATAGTGTTTGTTGTACTTTATCATTAAAATGTTATTTTATCTAATTAGGTAATGTGACAATCACACTACCTACACTAGTAATTGAGTCACACTGTGACTAACATTATCAATTGCAGTAAATATCTACTACCAACATAATATTTATCTACACTGCCACTAATTACAATAACACTTTCATTTTCCTTAAAATTAAGGAAAAGTCTAATATAATATCTACTTATTAAAGTTGTCATAACGTGAATATTTAGATGTACAACATACCTAAATCTAAATAATAAATTGATTAAAATGTTGAACATAAGAATAAACTATTATGGGTATAATTAAGTAATTAAACAAAAAATGATAAAAGACAATAATAAAATTAGTTTATTGTCTACAAATATTATTGAGTTTGAAAGTATGTGTCCCCGCTCCTACCACCAGTGGGGAAATTAAGGCTACCTCATGCAATTAGAATTGGAGAGGACATTATATTATGTAGTTCAAGCATTAATGAACCACAGTATTGCACACAAAACAAAAATAGATTTTTAATCATCTTCTCCCAGTTACAGTTGCGGTAGTTTAGGATCAAAATGAATTGGTTTGTAGCTTAAATGAGAAATGAATTGGGAAGGTTTAACAGTTTAACACCATTTTTCAATAATGCTGCAAATTAGAGTGAACCTGAAGCCCTAGATACAAAGTGCCCAGATGATTTTCACCTTGTTTTTAGGTAAGTATACTAAACAATACAAGTGAAAAAACAGCCATTTATAAGAAGTCCTAAACTCCTTGCACACCCTTCGCTACACTCCAACCCATAGTGTTTAAATAGATAAAACATTATATGTAATTTCAAGTACTTATCCACCTAAACGGAAGACATTCATAATCATATCCCATGACTATGGGCACAATACTTTTGCACTAGATATATGACTAGATATAGAATTATAGAAGTGATTTACTTAACAACCTGTAACCTGTAATACAATTAAATAAATAAGTATTTTACGTACTTACCGCTTATTGCGCGATGTACTCCACCATGAACATTTACTTGGTACTTCTCAAATATCGTGCTGTGAACCGCTCTGAACCAAACTGGACAAGACAATGGACAATCGTTTTTGCATTAACTAGGTAGGTACTATTAGTCATCAACATAGATAGATTACAAGATTACAGTGTATTTCAAAAAGTGATGAAATCCAAATTCAAAACATTTTATGACTCAAACAACCTCGGAACAATAACTAGGCATGGAAGCCAGGCTAAAATAGTAATTTACAAACGTATATCTGATGCTCTCGCTCTTTACACAATTTTGCGTAGGCGAGAATGAGACCGCAAACTAAACATAGTTCTATAATAATTTGCAGGTTGTCACAACTTTCAGTGGACTCATTACAATCTTATGTCATTGGACTTATTCAGCATACTACCAAATTCAAAATCACGTTTTGACGTTCTATGTTTCACAGTTTCACTCAAGTTTGACACCTTCCTCACTTTGCCGGATTATAGTACTGAAGTGTCACCGTGGTTGTATTTACGGCTCCTGATTATAAAAAATGTTTTTTATGGAATTAGCGCAAAAGAAAGGAAGAAAGGAAGTGTATGGTCGTTCTTTATTATGTGTTTTCCTTAATAAAAATACGTCTTGTGTGATTGACGGCTGCAATTCACATTTAGGAAGAAAAGAAAACAGTGGTGAAAAAATACACTTTCATTCGTAAGTTTTTGATATGTTTTAAAATAAATTATATTGGAAATACCGGTAAACTATAAATAAATGTTACTTATTTATTGTCGTACTTTTCAATTGTAAGCCTAAACAGTATTATTCCATCTTTTCCTAAAAAATCTAAATCAATTTTCTAAGTCAGTTTTTAAGCTAGTGATGTGGTCATGTTACATATCGATATTTTAGTTAGGCTTTGAAGTTCTTTATAGTATAGACGTCGTTTAGAACCCGAATCACATGATACCTTTGATGATTTGACAGACCACGACTACATTTTGTACCCATCATCTATTACGGAATATTCTAAAAATGTCATAGAATACATAATCGGCTTTATTGGAAAGAAATTAAAAAATCTTTACAATGCGAAAAATGCATAGAAAGTCTTGAAAACACGGAGAGTATTCCTTAAAGATCTTTGATATCTTTAAATATAGAGGTAGAAGAGGCCTATTTAAACCAACATATGGCTTAACCAAGATCTGTCAGCTGACCGAAAAAATTATAAGAGAATATCAAGTGCATATTGATTCAAAATCTCTCGGTAAACCAAAATAATTATTAGATTGATTAATAAAGTTTCAGCAAATGTGTTGCCGTCAGAAAATTTTCGAGAAAAAAAAGATTATTCATTAGAACAATCTTTCTATGTTGATCACAGAAATCTTATAAAGTCCATAGCACAAAAATATTTTAAACTTAGGATACATTTTAACAAAGACAATTATATTTAAAAGTCAATGATAAACACATAATAGTGCACCACTACCACGGTTTGTAAATATGCTTTGTTTGTGAGCAATTAAATTATCTTTTTAATATTGTGTTTTATTTTTGAACCCACGACATCCAGATTAAGAACCTAATGTACGTTAGACCACAGCAGCAAAACTTTCAGGTACCATAATTTATCGATAAAATATATTAATTTATTCCCATCACTAGCATATTTACAAGTAGTGACAACCTGCATAATAACGAAACGAAACAATACACATATCTCTTTCTTATACACTATCAATACCATAAGTAAAAAAAAGATGAATATATGGAGTGTAGTTGTTATTTTAGCCTGGCTTCCATGCTTTAGTTATTGTTCCGAGTGAATGGCTTAGGAGGTATTTTGTCTCAAATAGATAAGGACGGGTTAGAGCGCCCAGTAGCATTCGCTTCCCGCACATTGAACGCGGCTGAGAAAAATTATTCACAAATACAGAAGGAAGCGACTGCAATAATATTTGGTATACGTCGGTTCCATCAGTACTTATACGGGAGATCAGATCCTTTTATATTACGCACGGATCATAAGCCATTAATATCTATCTTTGGTCCTCATAAAGGTATACCAGAGGTATCCGCTAACAGATTGCAGAGATATGCGATGTTTTTAGGGGCATATAATTACGTAATTGAGTATGTTCGTAGTGCTGATAACAACGCGGATTACCATTCTCGGGCAAGTTTGCAGTGTGAGTCAGGACGTGATCGTGCCATGAGCGAGGGAGACAACATCGGCGTACACGCCGCCGCGGCCGCCGCCCCCATTGATCGAGCATCATAATATGATTATGTCAACTTTGTTGTCGAAGGCGACATGCCGTTGACTTTGAAGGAGTTACGTAATGCCACTAATGAGGATACGGTTTTACAGTTAGTTGTGAAATATGTTCAAAACGGTTGGCCTAACAAATTAGTGAACTCACAGATAAAACCATATCATTTGTGTAAGACACAATTGTCCTACGAAGATGGTTGTTTGATGAGAGGCCACAAGGTGGTACTTCCCGAAGCATTGCGCTCGAAGGTTTTAGCAGAGTTACATACTTCACATTTAGGCATGGTAAAAACGAAATCAGAAGCTAGGTCACGGTTTTGGTTCCCAGACATTGATGCGGCGCTGGAAAGAATGATACATTCGTGTGAAATATGCAAACAGCTACGGCCGTCGCCGCCCCGGGCACCCCTAGCACCTTGGAAGTTTCCACTTACACCATTTCATAGATTACATATAGACTTCCTCGGCCCGTTGAATAATCAAATGTTCTTGGTAGTGGTAGATGCTCACACTAAATGGTTAGAAGTGTACGACGTGAGCAACTCTACCGCTTCGGCGACTGTTGTTGAAAAACTCTACGATTTTATGTCTAAATATGGATTACCTCACGTAATTGTTAGCGATAACGGTACTGCGTTTATATCCGCTGAATTCACAAAATTTTGTGTACTAAATGGGATTACTCATCTTACATCACCCCCTTACAACCCTGCTAGTAATGGACAAGCAGAAAGCTTCGTAAAAATTGTAAAGAAGGGTATAAAATCAAGTATTTTAGGTTCTCGCAGTAGGAATGAGTGTAAATTAAAATTGTTAAAGTATTTGTTCGATTATAGAAACTCGGTGCATTCCGTCACGGGCTTCTCACCCGCTGAGTTGGTGTTTGGGCGAAAACTCAGAACACGTCTGGATTTAATCCACCCAAATTTAACGTCTACCCCACTCACATCACTAATTAACGATGTTAATAAAAAGCAGTGCTCGCAAATTAAGTACTATGGTGGTAATAACAAACATGTGTATAAACCGGGAGATGAAGTCATGTTTAAAAAATATATGAACAATTCTAAATATATGTGGTGCAAAGATACCATTATTAGAAGACTCGGTAAAGTGTTGTATTTGATCAAAGACCACATAACTTCAACAGATGTCAAAAAGCATAAAAATCAAATAGTTGTGTATAAAGGTATATCTCAACCAGTAGATTTAGATGATGTATTGTTAGATGATGTATTGTTAGACGACGAAGCCAGGGACTCTCAGTTGCTTGATAGTGGGGAGAGAGAAAGGAACGAGGTGGAATTGTCATCCTCACCTTCTCCCCAAGATATGAGATGTTCCAGCAAACTGTTGCGGGACATACCCAGGGTTGATTACAAGCAGTTCTTTTAAGATTCAGTTGTATTTTTCTATTAGTGCATTTAATAAGGGGAGGGATTGTTGTGTATCTGTGGTATACTCTATGGTCATAGTATAGTCTATGGTGATAGATTATCTATGTGCGTGGCGGAGCCCGCGGTTTGAAAAAACAATTGAAGACGAATAAATGTGTGTGTCGATAGCTTTCTCTTTTTTACTTATATTTCGTTTGCTTAAATAACATACTTAACAATAAGAAATAAAGGATATTATTATTATACTTACGGGAGATAAGCGAGTTTTTGGGATAAATAGTCAATATTATTCATAAATACCAGGAACTTAGGAACTGTAAAAATTATAAATAATTTTCATATGCTCATAATAGAAAATGTATGACTGCCTCGTTGGCCGAGTGGTCGTATGTGCGACTGCCGGGCAAGGGGTCTCGGGTACT